AATGGAGACGAAGCGGAGGTCCTCGTGGAGAGGGAAATGGTGGCATCGAGGCCAGCCAGCGGCGTCGATGCACCGCGCACTCGAGGAGGCATGGTTACAGCGGTTTCAGATTCTCTCTGACTCTCTGCTGCATTACATGCGACCCAGGTCCAATTGATTAGAATTGGTTGGATGTCAGGTCGGGAAAAGGCTGCACTTGTTTGGAGGTGTTTAATGCTGTTCCAACTGTGCAGTAATTTTCATCCCGGGGGTCCAATTATTCCGTATTCCGGCCCGACATCACCAACCTCGCGATCCACATCAGATGGGGCACAATCAGTGGGACAATGATGGAAGCTCTCGTCTGAGATGATATGAGAAATGATTAATTGATTGATTCTCAAGCTCAGCACGAAATATGGACTGGACTTATCTCGCTCGCTGAAGCATACTCGAGCTCTAGATTCACCTCGTGAGAAACATCATCACCTCGAACTCTAGCTTGCGTCTTCTCGATGTGTATTATTCAAGTCTCATGGCATTATAAACATTGGTATTCGTATGTATCTGTTACCTGCGCCATCATGCTTTGCGTCCATTATACAACTCCCTTCTTACCCAGCTCCCGACAAACATCAAATGCCAAGCATTAATCCTATGGCGAAAACTATAGGTAGCAGATAGATCTCTGAGGCAACTCATGTTTGCTGTTGCCCCGGCGGGTGAATAATACCAATGACTCATTTTTGGTTAGTCTCGCGTTGTGCCAGAATATGTGTTGTTCCCTGGCGTATATTCTACTTTCGAGACCATCCCAGTTGTGCCAAAGCATGTATCTTCGTATATCCAACTGAAGCTATCAGCCGGGTTTGGTCATCGAGAGGCGGTTCTTCTTTGATTTAGCTTTAGCTGCGGCGACGGCTGCCTTCTTAGCAGCGGCGGTCTCTTCAGCCTCTTGAGAAATCTCCTTCCACTTGCGCCAGCCGTCAAAGTCGATGAGGGCTTGCATGCAACCCCACTCCATTACCTTGCGCTCTAGCCAGACAAAATTGACGGGCTATAACACGAGTTAGCTACTTATTTCTGTTTGTCGGTGAGACTTGCGTACCTTGGTCAAAAAGTCGTTACAGCCAGCGGCTAGAGCTTCGTGTCGGTCACTCTGTAAGGAGCTAGCAGTCAAAGCGACGATAATCACAGGACTCTTGAACAATGATGGATTCTGTAGGCGGTCTTTGTCGTCGAGTTCGTCGGGGTTTTCCGTCGTAACCACACCATCTGGTGATGATGAAAAGACACCAATTGAGTTGACTCTTTCTAATCTTCTGATTTCACGAGTCGCTTCGAGACCGTTCATGACTGGGAGTTGGATATCCATCAGAACCAAATGAAATCCGCCAGCCCTCCACTTCTTTACAGCATCTCTTCCATTCATGGCGGTTGACCATCGCACCTTGAGGCGCTTCACAAAGGCTTCCAAAAGTTTCAAGTTGATAGGGTTATCTTCCACAATCAGGACGTTGATAGGAGGCACACCGCCATTGAGCATGCCCGGTGGTAAACTAGGATGTTCGGCCTTCTTGCTCTTCTTGGTTTTCGCCGTAGGTCGAGGTGAAGTTGGCCTGACTGGAGGTGTCGATACACGGACTGCCGAAGGTTCTGGGGCGGGAGGCGTCGGTAGAGGAGGGGCAGCAGGTGGCATACCAGGTTGATCTGAAGAGTTTGAATGAGTTCGTGAATGCGGTAGCCTCGGGTTGAAGTGTTGCGTACCGTGGTTCGCATGATTCGCGGCGGCGGCGGCAGCCAGTGACACGGCAGAGCCATTGGCAATCAGTGTTGGCGACGATGTATGAGTGCGGCCCAATCTGGGACGATCCGGACGGTCGCGATATGCGCGCGATCTACCAGGCGACGGAATCGGTGGAATATGGCCAGTCCCTAATACTGCGATTGAGTGCGGGGCCTGAGGATTAACATGCGCCGGAACTGCAACTGGAAGATGTGGTGAGCCGACAGCGCCAGGATGGGCGGCGACAGATGGAAAGTAGCCATCACTTGTTTCCGTAGGCCGACCGTCCTCGCTGTAGTAGATGTTTCCAACATAGGCTGGAACGACGGGGCGCGGGGAAGCTTTAGGAGCACGCCTTGGAATGTCAATTACTAGAGCTTCTTCAACGGTTTGTCCACCTGGATAATAAGCATCGAGAGTCCGGCCCATTGGCTCCTCAGGGTTGAGGACACGTTCTGAATGTTGATCGCGAGGAATAATGCGTATGTTAATGTCTGGAGAGTCGAAGCTTCGACCGAGTGAGTTTGAGTATTTACGTAGAATCATATCGCGGACATCATCGACCAGGTCGTCTTCGTTGACGGTGACGAGGGTCGGCGAGGCATGAGGCCGCTTGACCCAGATCTTTCGGGTCACCATATTTCCGTTAATAGGCGCGTATGTGGTGCTCTGGTTGTATCCAGGTTCGTTTACGGGTGGTGAAAGGAGCGTATTGATCAATGTCGTCTGGCGATTCGATAGCAAGCTCTGTCGCCTGGGCGGCGGGGCTGGTCGTGATGGAGAGCCAGGGGTCCCAGCTGTTGGAAGGCCAGGAGACGGAGCGACAAATGTCGTCGAGGTTGCTGCCGCCAGAGGCACAAAGGCGGCAGACTTTGGAGAGTGGGGAGCTTGGTCGAGTCTCAACACGTCGTCGTCATTGTGACCAGCAAGCTCAGAACCAGCGTCCAACTCGAGACTTGCGACCTTTCTTGGGCGCGCAGTAGGTGATGGGGGTTCCGAGTCCTGGGAGTCTTCGTGGATACGGTCGAGATTGGAGCTCGCCTGGCGCAGACGCGATGGTGAAGGCTGTTCCGAAGGGTGAAGTGAGGGGGAGAGCAGCGGTGGTTGATTGAAGTGAAGTCTTGGATGAGGTTGTGGCGGGTGCAGATCGCTATGGGGCGGGAGCTGGTCGCTAGAGCTAGTGGCGGTTGTATCAGGCTCTTCATCCAGGTCATCGAGGCTCTGCTGATCTATAGGCGGAGACGGCTGTTTCAGTGGCTCGCTCGTGGTGTCGGGTGCTGTGGAATTGTCGTTAGCGGGTGGGACCGCTGCTTCAGCACCTATTTCCGAGGAACTCTTGGCTGCCGACTCTGAATTTGAATTTGAGTTTGAGTTTGAGTTTGAGCTCGACTTTGGTGCTTCTGAAACCTCCCGAGAACCCTCGAGCTTTGCGACATCATCGCCATCTTCTCGCTGTCGATGCGAACCATCGGGCGTCGCTGTCATGCCACGCCGGCTACTCACGGTGCCCCTCGAATTGCTCACGGCCCGCTGAGAAGAATGGTCCCCATCTCCGTCACGAGCTCGAGAACGATCGCGATCCCATAGGTGACGACTCCCGAACGACGACGAGGTGGCGTCGGTAATGCTCCGACTGGAAGATGCCTGTGAACCCGCCGTCGAGTGTCGCCTTTTGGTGAACTTGGCTCGAAGGCGCGAGGCGATATCAGTAGCTCCCATTAGGTCGACATTGGCATCCTCTGGTGGCAGGACGCGACCGGGACGTACGTGGAGTCGGAGTTGGAGGTTTGAAGGTTGAGGCGATATAACAGGGAGACTAAGACAACGGCCCAACTGTTGGCGAAATTCGGGCAAAGGATTAATCTAGACAAAGGAGACGAATGCTGAATGAGTGAATGAGTGAAGACAGCAAAAAAATTGCAAGTGAATGGTCTGTACCGAGCTTCGCAATATTATCGACAGTGGAGGCAAGCAGACAGACAGACAGGCCTTCAAAGCAAGCTCTCGGAACAGGGTATATCAACAAGCGAGGCCGATAAGGATTAAAAGGGGAATAAAAGAACCTGACGATCCCAAGAATGAAGAACCAGAATCGGGTAAAAGAAGAGAAAAGGCCTGTCAAGGATATCACGGAAGTAAAGAAAAAAATAATCTCCAAGGAGTAGATCCGCCGTTGCAGTGTCGATGGGATCCAGAGCCAAAGCTTTCCCCCAGGATCCAATATCAAGTACAAGGACAGGCACAAGCACAAGCACAAGCGGGCAAGCAAGCAGGTAAGCTTGGTTGGCCCTTTTTAGGCGTGCTTTCGGGCCTGCTAAGATCGTGATTGCGCGCTCGTTTTTTGGCCAGGGTAATCTTAAGCCGAGCCTGCATTGGCTCGAGCTACACAATGCACAGCTCATTGCACCCATTCGAGACGGTTACACCCATTCAAGAGCCACCCGAGCGTCTCTATCGACAGGGGTCATCCAGGTCAATTGGACTTATTTTCCGTTCAGACCATCGCTTCACCTGTCAAATATTGACAACAGGCTTCTGAAAGTCTTCTTTAAAGATGGGTCCCTGGTCCGTTGGACTCTGTTGTTCAGTCTAGATCTCTCGTCAAGAGATTCTCAGAGTCAAAAGCTGGCGTCTTGAGATCATTCCATTTCTTGAGGTTGTGTCACATCTCACATGTAACAATAAGTTCACATGCTGCAGTGCTGCTCATGCATTGCACCGTTTGTGCCCCGTGGCTTGATACCCCAGACACAGCGACAGCTTCTCCTTCAGTCGACGAAGCCATTGGGAGCCGGACCATAACAAACTTTACGCGGCCACGACATCGCTAGAAAGGTCAAGCTTGGCAGCATATTCCCCCGGTTAGAGTATCTTCTTTTGTTGAAGAATGATACCCAATCTAGAGGTTATTGCAGCCATTTCATCAGCGATCTTCTTCAACGCGTTTGACTCAAGGAAACGTAGCAATAGAAGAGCGAATAGAAGATGCTGTTAATAACCAATACATAAGGTCTTGCTGTCTGTGATACGCCAATCTCATATTTCGAGATCTTGCAAATGGTGGATGAGAAGTGGGGCCCTCAACAGCTCAAGAAGCTGACATAATTGGTTGCGCATCAATTCGCCTCCAGCATACACCAACCTTTCTGTCGATCAAACATCAATAACTGACAAGATTTATCAATCACTATCCGTACAACGACATTATAATACTGTATATCACACGTAAATCGTCATGGCTCCTATAAAACCTCTGGGCGGGCAACCTCTAGGCGAGCAACCAGACAAGCCCGTCCCGCGCATCCCCAAATCTCCATCTCGGGCTGCACAGATTCAAGCGCAGAACCGAAGGCGAGAGTACCTCAGTCGACATCCGTCATACTTTGATAACCTGGAGCACGAGCTCGCTGGTAAAGCCGTACTACTCGATCATCCCCAGCTCCCAACCTGACTTTGCCCCTAGATCCCGTGCTGTACGAGCGGCTAGTAAAGAGGTTCCAGTCTCCTGCGGAGCGTGAAGCTGAGGGCAAAGCCAAAGGCTATGGCAGAACCCTCGAGGCTGACTTGCAACGTGGAGAGCTCAAGCTCTCGCGGCTGAAAGATGGTGACATTGAGAACTCGGGCGGTGATCTTGAGCATCCATGGGAGAAACCAGCAGCAGACAAAGCCCATGGCCTTCTCCTATGGCATGCGTTCCTAGAAGAGCGCTTCGTTCATGGTCTAGACGAGGACTTTGACTACAAGCCCGTCGACGCAGATGAAGATCTTGATACCATGATCAGAAGAGACGCTCAAGATGCCTGGTTCGACGACGAAGAACCAAGCTGGATAGATGAGGATGAATCCTCAGCACAGTTACCAACAAGACAAGGCGAGACTGGAGTCCAAGACTTCTAGGTCCGCAATATCTCCCTCCCACTCTCAAACCTGATGATTCAAAGACCCGACCCAGGACCACAGACCACAGAGACCCTCTCTATTTTAGCCAACGAATTACACGTCGATAATGACGATCCCATGAATTACCGTCCCACATTGCCACTTACCCTGAAGGCTCAAGCTAACTGAATTATGCATATTGAAAACATGCCGGCATTTTGTACCTATTTTGCCTAAATTCCGCTGTCAGTGCCCAACAGGCAAATCTGGCATATCAGACAACATATGATGAAACAACCACAAAAGCTCTCACGATATTTTGGGTAAAATAGCCCAGGAACAAAAATACGCCACAATTGAATGGGCAGAACCTATTACCGGCGGCTATTTTGAGCCGTCGCACCGTGTCATCGACTTATCTTTCTTCAACTGAGAACATACACACCATGCCGAGGTGCTTGGCTTGGCTTTCTAACTTGATCATCTGGTGTGGAACTCAACCCGGGTAATTGCGTGGCCTGACTGGATAAATGAATCAACTGAGATGAGCCTCAAGTCGCATTCACAAGTCAACGCGGGGTCAATTATCCATATCATATTATAATTCTCGTTCAAATATTAAAAGGCAGTCCTCTCTCAGCTACTGCAAGTCATCACCTCCACCCAAACAACACATTACATCTCATAAAGTCATACATCATGGCGCCTCTCATCACCAACGTCTACAGCGCCGACCCTTCGGCGCATGTCTTTAATGGCAAGATCTACGTCTATCCTTCTCACGATCGTGAGACCGATATCAAATTCAACGACAATGGTGATCAGTACGACATGGCCGACTACCATGTCTTCAGCACTGAGAGCCTCGACCCACCAGCTGAGGTCGTCGACCACGGTGTTGTTCTAAAGACAGAAGACATCCCCTGGGTTTCCAAGCAACTCTGGGCTCCGGATGCCGCTGAGAAGAACGGCAAATTCTACCTCTACTTCCCCGCCAGAGATAAGCAGGGAATCTTCCGCATCGGCGTTGCTGTCGGTGACAAGCCTGAGGGACCTTTCACTCCCGACCCAGAGCCCATCAAGGGAAGCTACAGTATTGACCCTGCAAGTTTCGTGGATGAGGATGGCCAAGCGTACCTTTACTTCGGAGGTCTCTGGGGTGGCCAGTTGCAATGCTACCAGAAGGGCAATGATATCTTTGACCCCGAGTGGCAGGGTCCTAAGGAGGTCAGCGGCGAGGGTGTTCCCGCCCAAGGACCAAGAGTAGCCAAGCTCACTGAGGACATGCATCAATTCGCCGATGAAGTCAAGGAGATCCAGATCCTCGATCCTGAGTCTGGTAAGCCCATTCTGGGAGATGACCATGACCGACGTTTCTTTGAGGCTGCGTGGATGCACAAGAGGAATGGAAAGTACTACTTCTCGTACTCAACAGGCGATACACACTTCCTGTGCTTCGCTACTGGAGACAGCCCATACGGGCCTTTCACTTACGGTGGACGTATCCTGGAGCCTGTGCTGGGATGGACGACACATCACTCCATTGTTGAGTTCAAGGGCAAGACATATCTCTTCTACCACGACTGCGAGTTGAGCAAGGGTGTGGATCACTTGAGATCTGTCAAGGCCAAGGAGATCTTCTATGACGATGATGGCAAGATCATCACCACTACAGCTGATTAGATATCCGCGGTGTTGCACATATGAGTTAAAAAGATACAATTTGATGTAAATAGACCACATATATCCAAGTCATTCCGTCGTGAAACACTGCATATTGTTGTACACCTAAATCACAAAATCTCCGAATCATTCCGTATCGTAACTCATCAGCATAAAGTCCCACTTACACTTACACGACTCCAACACGAAGCTTGTTCAAGGCTTCCTCATATCTAGCTGGGTTATGATCAATCAGCATACTCGTTCCAAATCTTAGCTCTTTGAAGCGCTCCTCAACATCCTTGACATATTTCATCACAATTCTCTGGGCTGGCTTTCCAATATGATCTTCTTCGGGTAGCAAGAATGCATCTCGCCTCAAAACCCGTTGTGTCTCGATGGTGAAAACCTCTCCAGGTGGCACAAGCTTACGGTTCGTCATACCAGATCTGAGGCCTTGCAACACTGAATGACCCCATTTGGAGGAGTCTCCAGATGGGACAGAGGGCAAACCTCCGTACCACTTGTCTGCCACACCAGTCTGGAAGGCCTGCCATATGCGTTGACGTATCTCCGCCTTGGCTTGTTGTTGGTCATTCTTGAATGCGAGTGCAACTGCCTGAAAGTCGTGCAGAACTCCCAGTGACAAATATGGAACGATGTCGTTCCCATGAACCACGGTTGTGATGAGACCACGAGTTCTCTTGCGTAGAGACGCTGACATAGTGCTGGGAGGCCCATACGCATACACGTGTATAGGACGTCGTGGTGGTAACGTAGAATGAACAGGCAAAAGCCCATCGGATAGTTCATCACCAACAGTCCTTTCTGGTCCCTCAATGGCAGTCACGAAGCCAGTGCCTGTTGGGTTTGGTTCAGAAAGCATCACTCCCAGCAATGCCGTCACTGCGCCGCCCAGGGAATGGCCACAGAGGACAAGCCCATAATCTGGGAATTCGAGCAATGCCTCTCGGAGAGTGAACAGCACCCGTCGATCGCCACCGTATAGGAGACGACGAGCTGAGGCATGGACACCTTTGTGTACCTTGTGGCCTCGACCACGCCAAGTCAAAACATCATAATCACATGTCATATCTGCCAAAACATCCTCAAAACCTAGTGTACCTCGACAAGCAAGCACGACTGCTTTAGCATCATGGTCCAGGGAGATGTAGTGCACCAAAGGAACGCCAGTCCCAGTTGAACCACTGGAGTCCGTCCCTCCTTGTGGATCAACAATAGAGGCAAGAAGAACGCTGTGGGTGTCTGATTCAGTATGATGGACAAAGTGTCTGACATCTGTGTGGGTGCTATCCCAAGCTCTTAATAGGGGCATATCTTTGGAAATGCCCATGAACTTGAGAAACGCGGAACCATACGACGCAGACGAGAACCTCATATACCTCGTGATGTTTCGGAGTACATGTGCTTGAGGGAATATCCCGTTTACCGTACCATCACGTCGAAGACCCCCAAGGGCATCTGATGCTGTGTATGCGCTCTTTTGATGGTAGTATGAAAGGACTAGTGATGATTGTGAATCATTGGATGCCATGCTCCAAAGACTTGGGCTCCTACGAAGAACCCTGCGGTGACCGGTAGACATTGGAGGAGGTGCAAGCAGACCATCATTCTGGGCTTGCTGAACCCAAGACGAATCAAATGCGGCACCACTCAGTGAAACACTCGGAGAGTGGGTTGGGGTGCCATATCCCGAATGGATGGAGTAGGTATCTGTTTGAGATATCATAGAATCTCGACGACGTTCGTGAACGGAGACATAGCTAGCACGAGAAGGGTTGCGTGGTATAAGCTCCGCCTTTTCAATGCGCTTTTGATCCAAGGAAGAGCGGGGACTATGCATTGGTTTGTTGCCAGTCTTACTAACAGTCGATATTCGTGACTGTGGACGAGGTCTGCTCTCTGGTGGCGGCGAATCCTTGTTCCAGATGTTTGAGATTGACTGACTTCCTTCTCGAAGAGCCTGTCTAAGACCAGTTTTCTTCTCGCTTGTTTGGCTCGTCGTCGAAGAGTCCGACTTCCTTTTGGGCAACACTCTTCTGGGAGCTGTGGTGCTTTCTCGTGGGGAAGTGGTCTTATTGGCGGCTTGTGAAGAGTTGACAGGTGCGCGTGGTCTCTTCTGGTTTGCTTCGCGTTGTGGAGTCTTAATCTCTACTGGCGACGATGGTGGTGACGCGGAAGTTGGCCGTGTGAACTTCCCCTTTTCATCTCGTATTGCGCTTGCTCGAGGTTTTGGTATAGTTTGAGGAGAAGTTCGGGCTGTTTGATCGTTGGCGCTTTTGACGGGTCTTGAACGTTGCGGTGGAGGCGACTTGACTCCCGCTGTCCTCGTCTTCTTGGGCACTTGGGGAGGTACTTTGACTGGAACCTCGGGAGCCGGTTCCTCTTTTGAGACATCAATCACAGAGACAGGTATGTCCTGAGACCCCTGAAAGGAAATATCACCAGTCCTTGATCTCTCGAGCCTATAGACAACACGGTAGCTAGAGGCTTCGGGAGGGTCGCTTAGTATCTGGCTGGTACGGCGGCCTGCCTGATTACTCAATCCTTTGGTCTCAACAATCTCGGCACCCGGTAGTAAAGGTAAAGGGAATGGACGAGGTCCATCAACATCAATGGTGACTGTTTGTGTCGATGATACTGTGTTGGAAATGGAAACGGAAGTGTCGGGAGGGAGTTTCTTGACCATTTCATCCTTGAGCTGGTCGATGACAGCTTCCTCTTCTTTAAAAGATGCGGATTGAGAACCAATGACGGCTTCTTGGAGTTTGGTGGGACTTGTGTCTCGGGATGCTGAACTGGCCGGCCTCGTGAAGATAGGAGTTCGAGTAATACGATCTTGAATGTCAACACGCTCACCATCATTTAATACGACGACGTCCCATATTATCTCTTCAGAATCCTGTCGTCGTTTTTCCTCTTCGACCATCTTCCAGGACCACCTTTGTAGGTATGCCAAAGCACATAAGCCAAGCACAAGATCCATCATACCAACAGTGTCCCCATGAATGCCGGTGGTGGGATCGTGGAACTCCCGTCTGATTAGTGTGATGATACTCGCGATGGCTCGAGAGGAATCAGTCGACCCGAAGATCTGATCGAGCGAAGATAGAAGTAGTTGTGATATCCCTGAAGCCATCGAGAAAGTTGTACTCGTGAAGTGAAAACCTGCACTTGTCCAGAAGACGGCCTGGGACATGGCATGGTGAAGATGCTCGAAACTTCGTTCGATGATGGATTCGGCTTCAGCGGTAGACATATCGCTCTGTGATCGTGAGAGTGTCTCTCTTCCTGCTTGCGATAAAACAGTTTCGACCATGCTACGAGCAAGTTCCAGGGAGGATAGCGTGGTTACCTTTGCAGCACTTAGACCGTAAGATCCGGCCCTGGAACTGAGGCGAATCGCGAGACATGTTGAGCGTGTTGCAAGACTAACGGCTTGAGCGACTGGAGAGGGGAGTAGTGTTCGACCTGGTTGCGGAGGAAGATCCTCGGCTGATATGATGCTTGAGTTATCCATGGCGGAGTGGTTGTCATTGAAGCCCGATCGTGATGGTGTTGAGGGGCGAAAGAAGAGTGGGTATGACGGGATAGTTGTAGTTCAACGACACTAGCATAGACGTTAAATGTTCGCTCATAGAAAAGAATAACGAACAAGAGGCCTGAGTGTTACTGGCTTGTTTCGAGACGAGGTTTGAGCGAAGTTTGAGTAGTTCAGCTCTAGCGTCGTGAATCCCAACACACTTAACAGACCGAAGGGTGGCCACGAGTAACACCAATTACATGGTCGGAATGTAAATAAGAACGTGACAAAGAACGAATGGCATGTCGCTTGTGAATTTGGTTGGACGACATGGAATAATACAGGGAATAAGACAGACACAGAGACACAAGAGACACATCAAGAGATGACGAGATGTGAAACAGATTTGCATGTGATTGCATGATAAAGGAGCCTGTACCTGCCAAGACCCGACTTTGATGCTTGACAACTCATCAATTTAAATCCTTGTTCTTTTAGTGTTAGTGTCTAATCGCGCTGATATAATTCGTCTTGGAAATTGAGTTTTGTACCTGATCAGACCTTGACGTTGCAGCGCTATCATAAATAGTGTCGAGAATGTTCCGAGTTTTGGGAAGCTTCTGATACCGGTTATCAGGGTCTAGATGCCATCCCATCCATTCCAATTTCGAGTGTCTAAAACATTCAATCTCGTTGACACAACCCTTCAAACCTTGGATGATATAGAGATTACCTTAGTACTAAGTTGATGACAAAATAACTTCCGCCTGGTATTGGAAGCTTACAATGCCAATGCCAGTGAGCAAAGGGAGCATGCTACTGGTAGGTACCCTACAGTCGAGGCCGGGCACGTTTGAATATCGTGGGCGCCTTAGATGTTAGGCCCACACATAGTTTACCTGGCCTATCTACCTAGCCACAGCACGAGCCACAGTAGAAACCACAATGCTATTCTCCACGAAAATCTGCTTATAACTCGTCCTAGTTGATAGAAGCTGGACACTATTTTCAACACGGATGAGATATACAACCACATAGGAGCGGTAGTGGCATCGATGGCAGCAGTCGCAGATTATGATACAAGGATCAGTTCAGACTCTGCTTACTCCGAAGCCTGGTTCCGCTTCCTCTGGCGATGGCGTCTCCATGGCTTGTGATCTAACAACTTTCCCAGATATCCCTTTTCAATACCGTGGGCAGTGATTGTAAATGCGAAGGCTTGCTGTTGTAGAGTGCCAGTATCATCCATCAGCCAAGTATGAATCTCAACCGGCTGGCATAGGCTAAGCACCTGCTTGGAAACGATGATTGAGGGTTCATTGCCGCACTCCTCGCACTTGTCGTCCATTTCAGTAGCTACCTTAAATTCAGAGGAACTCAGAATGACTGCTCGATGGTGTATCTTGTCGCAGAGCGGATCCTATGTATAATCAGAAGTTTGTCCAGGAAGTTATATCAGATTGACACTTACGCAGGAAGACCATGTGTGTACCACAAGCTCAACTTCGCAGAGTGAGAGGCCATTTGCTCAAAGTTCTTGTCATTTAGCAACTCCACGTCTAGCTTATAGCCTAATTTTCCGTAGACCGCCGCTGTCATACATTCTTGATAGCAACCCCAGGGCTCGACTTTGGCTCCCGGTATGTTCAAGCAACTGGCAATATTGTTGACGTGCAACATTGACGATTCAACGCAAGGGGGATCTGGGCAACGCGGGAGAGGGCGTCGGTGATTGGGAAACTTGGTTTCAAGGCGAGTTTCCAAACTCACAAGAGCTTCAGCCGTGAGTTCCAACGAGGCATCAGAAGCCAGCTCGACTGCGATACCAAGGGCCTCAGAACAGCGGAAGATGATATTTTGAGTCGCGGAGGCGAGACCAAATTCCACATATCCAGTAATATCGAGATAGGAGGGACCCTGGATACAATACGCCTTCAAACAAATAGCCCGGAGGAAGACAGTAGGCTCATCCGCCATGGTGATTATCTCGGTTTGGGAGGTGAAAGATCTGCTCCCAGAGGACTATTAATCCTGCAATAAAATAGATTCAGCCCAGTATCAGAGGATGCGGACAACTGGTCACCGGGGGTGCCGCATTCTTACCGTAGATCATGTTGTCTACGCTAATGCAGTCTTGCAGGGAGGGATCCGGAAGGAGAGCGAGAGTAAAACTATTGCCCTGTGACCTATTTGCTCTGCGAATAGCTCCCAACCTGACAAGGTTACCGAATGCCCGGCGTATCCTAGTAATTGCGTAGACGGCGCCGAACTAATGCAAACCAGATGCTTCAAGTTATAGCGTTTTATAACTACAAGGACCAAATTGCATAAATATCTTACTCAGGCACCTGTTTTCTACAGCCAGAGAGAGCTTCAACAGTATTTCCACGCAAATCTATTCTCGAATATGTGGATATCAGCATGCAAGTCCTCCAGTGCCACTTATTCTTAACTACTTCTATGTGTTCAACTGCTAATCCTATCACAAGCGACGATACGCATGTGGCCACCCACTCATCGAGGTTATTGGTTGGTGCGAGACCTATAGGACCTCAGAAAAACCTGGCAGGCGAAGCCAACAAATGAATGGTTCCAGCTCAAAGGTCTATGCAGTAAGTCTCACAAAATGTATCACCAAACAGGCCATTCTCATACCAATTTCAGGCACTTGCAAAGAAAAACAGCACAATGAGAGTTCGGCCACTCCATGGGCACCCCAAAACTACGACATTCACCGACATTAGGAAAGATCAAAGTGTATGGAGGGCAGTGTACTGAAAACTGGATTATGCATGCACAGTAGATAGATGACGGCGAACCAGTGAACATAAGATGCAGGGAGGTACTGTTCGACAAATAGACTTCAGAGTCTGCTGCATATCCCTAGCTGCCATGGACCATGTATCTAGTCTACGCTAATGCAGTCTTTCAGGTGGGGATCTTGGAGGCGAAGGGTGTGAACCAGGGGTGCGTGGTAATGGGGCGTGTAAGTGAGTGATCTCACTTGATTCCAAGGCCTCAACGGATCTGCTTCTCAGATTTCCAGCTGCACATGGACAAGACGGGAAAAGAGTAACACGGTGACTGAAGAAGAGGCCGTTGTTCAAGTCCGGTTCGAATGTCACATATACCAGACGTCCCCCACTCAAGTTCGTCCCTCTTCTCCTGCTTCTTCGCATTCTCCTCCCCACCAATCTATAAGCTTGTATATTTCAACAAAATGACTGCTCTATGTAACAGCCCAGTAGCTGGAAACCAAAAGGTGCGTCCGCCGTCCAAAGCGAAGCTTGAGCATTGACTGAGACAAACATGATAGGATGCAACAGCCAATGACGATGACTTCTTACATAGGCTCGTCATACCGCTCACTTGTTTTGAATCTGCCTCATCACCTGACCGTTTGAGCCCCAAGAAGCTATGCGAAGAAGCAAAAGAAAATGGGCCGCGTTGGCTTATTGAATACTTTTGCGAAAGTCTTTGCAAACGATATTCGAAGCAGATTTCCGGAGCTCAACTCCTCCACGAACTAAAGAAATCCCCTCGCAAAGCTCTTGAGGCTTTGCACAAGGTGGTCAAGACCTCAAAGGGCCATGAGCTTTATTGGCTGCGTCTACGTCCTGTCGATGGAGATGAAACTTTGGAACTATCAGCAGATCAACTGCTCGAGAATCTCATCTCAATTGGGCATCGTACAGGAAAGCTTGGTTATTGTTATGCAGTTTACGAGGACGCGTCCCCGTGCATCTCGCACTACTTCAAGCTTGTCAATTGGTTGAAATGGCAAAAGGAGACTGATGACATGCTAGATTTCACGATTCAGGACTGCCAAATGTTCGGTAAAGAGTACTACTTATCCCGACGTCCTTCATCTTCATCTTCATGTACTTCCGCCGATTCCACGCAGGCATTGAATCCTACACTGGACACAACGTTGCAACTGGCTTGCGTCCCGGCTCTACCACCAGGACTCGAATCCTTCGAAGCGGTGCAAGAACCGGAAGATATCATACCTGATTCCAAGGAAAAGAGAGAGGTGCGTCTGTCATAACCCGCGATCTATGCAAGACTTAAGACGATATAGGACACGGCCGAACGTTCTAGTGTTGGCGACTCGAGCTTGAACGATCGAACGCATAAAGAAAGAGAATGCCTGTGCTTCATTTCCTGGGACCTCATGCTCAAACTACTCATGGTGTATGTTACTTTCATATACATCCTGTCACCAGACGACGCAGACCCCCAGAAACTTTTCGAAGAAGCCAAAAATTACGAGCCTTGTCAGATCCTCGAACGGCTTTACAAACGTGGTTTCCAACTCACAATTGGAGGTGGACACTTACGCGCCGCTCTAGAAATGGTTGACGACAAAGTCAAACAATATCTTGCTGGTTTTGAATATCTACGAGTGACAGCTCGAACTCCCGATGGCATTGAACTTACTAGGTTGCTACCCGCCTATGAAATTGGCCCTGTTGAAGCCGTGGCGAAAGTCGAAGAGGTCATTTCTGCAATCTACAATGGAGTCACTCTAGCGAAGTGTCGTTGCTTCTATGCAGTTGATGCAGATCGGTCTCCCTTCTCCCACGTCCGTGTCAGAATTGCCATGACGGTCGATTATTGGAATTTCGTTTGGCCTGATAGCCATACGGCCGGTTCAGAGGCTGTCAAACCCGAGGCGGATCTTAAACTCGCCGAGAAAAAGAATGAGGTACGTTTAAGGCCCGAACCGAAACCTGGCAATGCTAATACGCATTTCACGCAGGATGCAGTTAGCCCAGAGGGTTCAATTCATGTTGAGCACAAGGAGAAACTCGTGGCGAGATTTGAGGAGCTCACGACTGAGGAGCATCGCGACGTGCTCGACCGGGAAATTTTAGAAGCTGAAGACACTGCAAGAGAGAGCTTTTCTCTTGAGCACAGTCATATGGCCAGTATGGTTGACGAGGATGAGGAAGAACATGGATTCACAATGATCTCTCGGATTTAATATGCCTTATTCATCGTTTCAACTCCATTCTCTCTCTACCTGGTTATAATCGATTTCTCAAGCTTAAACCATCTAACGCTAATATTGGTTTCGAATATGCTCCTTGATCTCTGCCCATAGCTTCACTGGATCCTGGCTTGTAATCTCATGCGTCGGGAACTTTCCCCAAGGCAGTAAATCCCCCTCGTTAGTAGTCCTATGATGTATGATGCCCGATAGGGTGAGTACTTTGTCTCCATGTTCATCCAACGTTTCATCCTCCTTGTCCCCATCCTCCTTCCAGAACTTTCTCACAGTAGGGTTCAAATGCACTTCAATTCGTCCATTATAAAAGGGAATAGGAAAATTTTTCCCAATGGTAGCTAGGCCCATGATTAATGGAGGGGAGAGAAAGACTCCATATTGACGGACTGCTGGTGGTAGAGAAGGAAGTCCGGCTAGAGGCCTTTTAAATGGTTGAAGTGATGTCTTGAATGGAAGAAGTGATTTGGGGGGATATCTAAAGCTTGATGGAAAATGGGAATCTGACTGATGGTGGCGATGACGAGACTGCGGCTCGAGCGAATGACAGCGCCTATCTGGAGTCCTTCCTCGACTGCATCTTGTGGGCTGACACGGCCTGGGGAGAAACGGCGGTGTACAGTGATACACAAGGCCAAGGCAGATACAACGGCGAGGATCGAGAGCCCGACAACCGTCTCAGTGATAGGCATTGTTCTTGTGTGACTGGCTTGGCCTGCGCCTTGGTGGAGGGTTTGGGATGCACCACGGCCAAAGGGATCTGGCTTTTCAGGGGGAGAACACACGAACCTGAGAGACACTTGGGGGAAACCGGTCGATGAGGCCGGCCATACTATACTGTTGTCTTGCTGAGGTGCACATTGCTATAAGTACTTGGTCGGTGTCTGGATGTTAGTCAACCAGATTGTTCCAGGACGGTTGTCGAGAGTTTGAGCTATTGTGAATACAGTATAGCGCAAGATAGTCTTGTTGACCACTTTTGGAAGAGCACCCACATCTTGAACTTCAGAGACTCTATGCACCCCCCCTCCCCGGCCCACGTCCATCTCAAGCTAGCCGTTTGGAGTAAGCAGGACCAAAGCACGCTACTAAGTCAGAGCCCTGACAGAACATCCATTATACAAGCAAGTGTCCCTTTTTCTCGCCTTATCAAAACCACGCTCAGACAAGCCATAATGAATCAGCGTCGTTATGAGCAACCATCATCATCAAACAGCGGGCCAGAAGGCCTTTCCGATATTGCATCAGGTGGCCCCCCTGTACCATCCATGATCGTATTCGAGGTGAGAAAAGAGGATACGGCTCGGGCAGAACAATTGCCTCAACACTTTACTTCTTTGATCAAAGACCTGTCTCGGGAGGATGGCCAGCTCAGAGCTCGCAGGAGGCTACGGGGGCTCGACAATCCCAGGGATGTCCACCGACAATTGTCAAAGCTTGAGAAAATCGACCTGATCCAATGGCCATCCCAACATTCCGCCTTGGTCCCTTGGCAGCAACTAGTTATTATCGCTGCTACTATAGTTGACAAACATCTTGGTCACCAAGAGATTGCTGTATCAACAATCACTCGGCTTCATGGGAAAAAGGTATCTCAAGATCTGATTAATAAGGATGAACGGGCGGTACGCGAAATAATCCAGTTGATAGACCATCTGTATTTACAATGGGAGGACCTTGCTCTCGAGCTTCTCATGCTTCTAGGTAAGAAGAATTCACTTTTCAGTCCTTTTTTTGCCTCTTCTTATCCAAAAACAGACACCCCACTGTATATTCTTCGTGCCCAAAGCGCCAGGAAATATAGGATGTTCAAGAAGAAGCTTCAAGAACACACGCCTTCCCCTAAAATCAGAAGCTCATTAAAACTATATACTCCTTTTCTAGTTCTTCTGCTGCGGCCAAAGTATAAGCTATCAGATATTCAAGATGCTTTGGAGACAACTATTCTCAACCAAGATGCTTGCGATATCTTCTGGGAGACATCCCATGGGCTTCCCCTGGGATACGACCCAATTAGAGATGCATGGACTGAACCTAGGCCATTACCATCAACTGACCTTGATTTGTCAGAATTTATCGACTACAAACGGAACTACCCTGCCAAAGTCAATACACCAATTTCTGGCTTCAAGGCATTTGAAACATCGCTTGATTTGCAACGGGAGGTAGCATACGTCAACCAAAACCAGTCGGGATATTCACCTACAAATGACTATATTTTCTCTTATGAATGGGATGAGGGCATCCATGGACGCGCGATGCAGCAGGTGTTGCACGACTTGGTGAGTTACATGCCTAAGTGCCGTCAACCTTACTAACCGAGAAGGCAAAATCCGAATTCATCCAAGCTGAAGAGACGTACGTCCAGAAGCTCTCTATCTCAGTCGCATCATCAAGCATCTATGTCCCGAAAGGTCACCTCCAGATCATAGTTCCAGTAGAGGCATCACAAGAGCCAGTTTCAGTCAGTAGTAATGGGTCTAGTACCACAGTTGAATGGAGGACGCAAACTGGGTATATACTAGATCAAAACACAAGACTATTACCGCCGGGGACGATCAAGTATATTTCTCTATTAGTTGTACTTTGAACATACAGTTTCATGCTTCAAGTCTTCTTAATTCTCACCACATCTTCCTTCACCCCTACAATCTGATCAGCAGCAATCGGCCCTGGTCTTGGGGCAGTGGCAACTGTACGCTGGCGGTTAGACTGGGCAATTCTCAGAGTCAGTGTAATATATACCTGGAGTACTGCCACCTTGCTGCGGCATCTTGTTTCCGCTGGTATCTTGTTCCGCTTGAGTGGAAGAGGTGTCTGGCATGTTGTAACTGTTTGGTGTCCAGGACCATCGATAGTCGGTCACTTCAAAGCAGAGGAAGCATGACAACCTATATATCACCCTTTGTTTTCTCTTCTCGATCAAAAGAAGGCTCGTCTTTGATGTGCTTTGATCGTTGGTTTTGGCCATGCACCTCGACCTCAGCCCTGATGCAACTCAGCACCACCAGCTTAGGCTGCATAACAGGCTACTTAGCCTACAGTACTATTCTCTACCCTCGTATACTTACCCGTTCTCAAGGAATTGCCCTGCTACATCGTCAAGAATGGTAGGTTTACAGGCCCCTATGATTCAGGTCCATGTTAAGCTGTGTTTACATGCTCGATTACGATAGCGTTCCTCAAGGCCGATTCAGCTTCCTCATCTAGTTGGAAGAGAGTTACAGAGTTGTAGTGGAATGAAATACGTCTTTCGCGTCCTTGTTAACATCTTTTACATCTTGGCTGATATCTTTGGCTGCATATCTTGACTCGAGATAGTCTTACACGGCTGGGCCTCTGACTCTGCCACTTCTGGCAGACATTGTGGGCTGGACATTTTTGGCAGACATTCTTGGCTGCATATGTTAGCCACCATGATAGCTCCCGACCCTTGCCTCCCTATCTCATCTGCATCTGGCCATTCTCTGGCCCCGCCTGACATGCAGTACATATCGTGTTGTGAGACCTTTTTTTTAATTGGCCTGGCATACTTTGTCTGGGCGTTCTTGTCAGACATTCTTGTCTTGATATTCTTTTCACATCTTATTGTTATGGAAACCATTATTCCAACTCTCAAGGCGAACCCCCAAAGCCTAAGTCCTTCAGAAAGGAGCTCAGCGCTAGCTCAATGCCACGCAGCTATCCTCCAGATAGAGGCATCGGAGGTGCTAAACAGCGTCCACAATGCCGAGTCCACCCAGAAATTCAGCTCAAAATCCCTGCAGCGACTGAAAACGCTCCTCAGCAGCTTCATCAAGGGTGTTGCAAGCGAAAGGATCAGAGACCTTGAAGATTCGGACCCCGAGCTCGTTATTGTTTACGGCCTGTGTATGACGACCAGGGAAATCGACAGGATGAAGGACGAGTTGTGGAATGAGGTTAAAAGGCAAGCCCGTCTTGTCGCTTCACACCTAGCCCGATACCTCGCACTTAACGCTCAAATTGCGCACACTATAAACATCTCATCTAATACCAAGTTCCAAAAAGGTCAGCGTCCTGTAATAAGCTCCAGCTTGCTTGCGACTCTGCTAATCAAACTCAGCTTTTGAAAATCTACAGAAAGATCACAGCTTGTTCAACGCGATCCCCGCCATCATCATTGACCAACAAGGATACTTCCACTATATCGCCCCTCAGATCCCTCAGTTATAGCATTTGGCTAAACTGGCAATTACTGGTAGGGTAGCCCTATACTTGCCAGAGCTCGAGTTAGATGGACGTCTTCGGATTACCACTGGGTGGGATCCGGACTTCCTGGACGGGCTCTTTGTGTGTCCCAGTGGCATAATGACTGATGGGTTCGTGGCATATTCCAACAGAGCTCGTGTGGCACAGTACCTTGGAGAATACATTTCCAGCGCCATTGAAACCTCCCAAACACGGGCAATGGAGCTTCCGAATAGTCCGATAACGCAGTGCGTGAAGTGCCAGGCGTTTCCAGGCCAAGTCATTATTATTGATGTTATTCTTGGCAAGGCTGAATGTATGAATATCTGGAATGGAACCTCTGGGTTGGTGTACAATCGCCTGGCTCATTGAATTCAAGAGAATGGAACGTCTAAATTGGTGGGTGTCAGTCACATGTGATTTGCTACCTTACTGATTACAGACCCACCTACAGTACCTGCGGCCTGATAGTCAGCAGACACAAAACCCAATGCTAATTCCCTCCACATCACAACAGGAAAGCGACGCACTTATTCGACTACCTACATACCATACCTACTTACCTTACTGTCGCTTCCTGTTTAATTCCTACTCAATAGTCCCTGAAAGCCCAAAGGTGCCACGCGATAACTGTGACCCAAATATGGGCGCGAGACCAGTCGCCTCAGCTCATTTAGGCATCAACGCATCGCATCCGAGTATTTAACCCCGAGACACCCACCTGTCGCAGGGTACAAGTCGGGATTTCTTCGGCCACACACTCTTACATACAAAATGACAACGAAAGAAACAATCGTGAGTAAGCATGCAAACAAATCTGTATTGTTTCGCTACTTACCATTAGGACAATCTTTGGCGAGAAGGATTATCAGAAGGTTCAAATCTAAGTGACAAGGATAAAAAGTCCTATCATGGGTTTTCGGCTGGAACTTTCCAACGCTTTGAATGTGCTGCTGAGTGCATTATAGTATCGTTTAGGCGCGGGAATGAGGTAATTGTAAGGAAAACGCCGCCGGGACATATGAACTCAGTTCCAGACGATATTACAATTCTCGTGCATGGTGGAGATCAAGGCGGGAGAGCAAAAGCATGGTAGTTTGAGGAACAGTGTATCCGTACAAGCTTGGAAATAGGCCAGAGATATTGAAATATGAGGGAGCGGCTCCTCCAGCCTTGTGCATAATGCTTTTTAGCGTCAGGTATGACGGTGTGATTTGACCAAGCGAGCAGTACCGGTAGCCTGGGACCGCTGAATAAGGGTGTAAGTCGTTTGAGACGGCCTACGCAGAACAAATAGGCTGGAGATGAACAGATCCTTTGAGACGGCCATTGTTTACACGCAACAGTCATCTGAAAGGGAGATAGTTGAAGCTTGAGCATGGTGTCTTGACCAGTGGTTCGCTACGTGAAAAGTTGTATGGCAATTATTCTACTCGTGTCTCCAATATCAGGAAACAGTTAGCATGTGCCATCCCGGGATACTCTGTGTTCCAGAATGTATGTGAAAGAAACTCTGCAAATACAGAGTAGTCCACCCTACCTTACCTTGGTGGGAGTTGCGCTGCTAAGATCAGTATTCATAGACACCACTGACTCCTTGCACACACATACCTGGGACATACATCCCAACCATGTCCTCTTCTTCCAACCAGGGGCAAGTTCAGCCGCCACTTGGCTTAGTATCCGGGCAGATAGTCTATCTGCTCAAACAGACGAAAGTCCCCAAGCAGCCGGATTGACATCAATTGGTCAATCGTGAGTTGCATCACTACAGTCTCCATCAGACTAGCATCTTTTAGGGCCCCTTCTGACACTACTTCCTCGTTGCTGCTCGGTTTCCCAACGACCGACGACTTGCTTCAAGTTTAGAGCAGATATACCATGCCGAAGAGTGCCATGAATTTGTAAATGCTTATGCGAATAACTCTCCTTTCTCAACAGATTCAATTTGGACAACCGCTTACACGACCTCTTCTTTCTCACCGTTCACCCAAGAGCTTGCTCATATGCCGCCGTCCGAAGAAGCGGTTGCACCGCCAGCAATTTCTTGTAGCGCCCTCTCAGTCGAAAGCAGCGTCAATTCATACACGTAAAATACACTATCGATGCACTACTCATCGATCGAAAGTAGAAGGGGCCATGATAATCAATGGATCTGATCTTTACATCGAATGTAAGCTATCAGCGGCCACAGGAATGACACTGGCTACTCTTTCGTCTTTACTGCGTAGAGAGATATGTGAGGGCCAGATGCTGGGTTGTTGTTTGTAACAGCAATCTAGATAGCGTTACTAAAGTTTATGCAACAAACTCACCACGAGAGTTTACTTAGCGTTTCTATCCGAATGATATAGATAAGACAAAAACTTTCCATTCATCCGTATAAGTGAACCATGGAATGACTTTGCAACAGCTTCATCGACCTCCACCAACACCACAATCTTGGTCCCCAACTGATTTCCTCCCTTCCATCCAATCAAATACCTCGGTTCCGTGGTCTAGTTGGTTATGGCATCTCGTTAACACCGAGAAGGTCCCCGGTTCGATCCCGGGCGGAACCACACTTTTTGCTCTCTGGGCTTTACAAGTGTCGGGATCGCCTTGAGGCTGTGACTCGCTGACCCCTGAGCGATGATGGTAAATCGTCCCTGATATAGAACCAGTGGGGGGGCACTAAACACAAAAAGGTACGGGAAAGGTCAAGCCAAGCTCAGCTCAAGACTCCGCCCATTCTGTTCTGAAACGGAAAAAGACGAAACACTCCCAGATCTTACATCGATTGTATCTCAACATCTTCTATCTTCTTTTTGTGTATATCTCTCTTCAATTGCTCTGTTTGAACATCTATCAAAGTCTTTTTGTCGAGACATCTCCCTATACCCCTCGACAAACACCCCGCCAAACACAATCTTCCCCCACCAAATCGACACCGACACCGCCATGGCTCAAGACGGCATGTTCAGCGCTAACCTCCTCTCCTCAGAGGTCAGCGCCGCTCTCCCCGAGGGTTATACTCTGCGCGCTCTGCGAAAGTCAGACTTCAGCAGCGGTTTCCTCGACTGTCTGCGTGTCTTGACCACGGTTGGCGACATCACCGAAGCCGACTTCGTCAAGCAGTACGATGACATGCTCGCTGCTGGCAGTTACTACATTATCATCATTGAGGATACTTCGCGAGGCGACAAGCCTGTTGTTGGAACTGGCGCCTTGATCACTGAGCGCAAGTTGTAAGTCAATGGTCTTTACTGTCTGCTAGACAGCCGCTAACAGTCTGTAGCATTCACAGCCTGGGCGCCGTAGGCCACATCGAAGATATCGCCGTCGCAAAGGACCAGCAGGGCAAGAAGCTCGGTCTCCGAATTATCCAAGCCCTCGACCATATCGCCGAGCAAGTCGGCTGCTACAAGAGCATTCTCGACTGCAGCGAAGCCAACGAGGGTTTCTACGTCAAGTGTGGCTTCCGAAGAGCAGGCCTCCAGATGGCCCACTACTATGAGGGCTCAAAGGGTAAATCCCAGTGATTCCATTAAGTAATTCTACGATATAATGCAATGCGTATGTGTATGCGTGGCGCATGCGCATGTTTCCTTTTGTTATCGTTTGCGTGCGTTGCACAGAGGCTGATGCGGTTTCGCATGGCGCAGGAAGCAAAATCTAAAGAGGATACGGATACGATATTGGGCGGATTTAGAGGTAGATATACGGACGGGAGAATATAGACGAGAATTTTTGCACTGTTTGCACATTTATCGGGCGACGGAACAAGTGAGATCTTGCGGGTAACCCGAGACATTCGGAGAAGATCCATGTAAGCTGCTGTATGACAAGAATCATCAGCTGAGTGAGGTTCCATATTCGGCTTCCGATTCGAAGCGCATGTGAATGACCGATGAGTTTGCGCATAAAACCTGCTTATATTGCCGACTGTTAACTACAGCCACCCAGCTGAACATATTCAGTCTCGCCCAGTTCTCTAAAGTCTTTTCGTCGAAATCCCCAAGTGAATATCAAGATGTCCGACGAGTTGAGCCACTCCTTCATCAAAGTCCGAATTGCAGCCTTGCAATTGCTGTAAGTGATAAATGCCACTGTAGAATACTTGTTAAATTAGTCACTACAGTGTTCGATCCAAGAACCCGGATGCTTTCCATATCGTCAGGCATCTGACAAACCGAGTCACGACATTCATCGACCCAAGCGGTTCCCTTCGCCTGGCCAGACGAAGACTTGTTCGCGCCCGTCGTTAATCACTTGACATTCCGACTTTGCAAAAACGCCAAAGGTATTATATTGTAATCTATTTTCGAGCTTGATTTAGAGACCACCCTCAAGCGAATCGTCTATCGGCCCATCCAACCACCATCAACAACCAACACATGCCCACTCACATACCCACTGGCCTTACTCGCCAGATACACAGCCGTTCCCTTGAAGTCATCGGGTGAACCCCAGTTACCAGCGGGAATTCTGGAAGTAATAGAAGCAAGACGTTCTGGGTTGGCGAGAAGTGCCTCGTTCATGTCGGTTGCGATGTAACCGGGAGCAATAGCGTTTACGGTGATACCCCTTGAGGTCCACTCGTTGGCGAAACTCTTGGTGACTTGGCCTACTGCACCCTTGGAGGCAGCGTAAGCAGGCACAGTGAAACCGCCCTGGAAGGTGAGGAGGGAGGCGAAGTTGATGATGCTGCCGCGACGGCCTGTGACAGGTGAGGGTTCGAGGTTGAGCATGTGGGCGCCGACGTCGCGGCAGAGGGTGAAGACGGAGTTGAGGTTTACTTGGATGACCTGTAGCCCGTTAGATATGCTATGAGACAAGAAGTTGAAATTTCATACCTCATTGAAGTCACTGTCGGGGAAGACTTCACAAGGATGTCGTCGCTGAATACCAGCGCAGTTCACCAGAATGCGAATCTGATGTCCATCGGCGAGCACCTTAGGCACAAGCCCAGCAACAGATTCTTGGGACGATAGATCGGCTGTGTAGATGAAAGCCTTTCGGCCAAGCTTCTCGATCGACTCTTTTGTCGATTGTGATGTGGTATCTCGCTATATGTCCAGTTAGTCTCGAGTTCTGGTCTCATCATGAGAACGTTCCGTACCTGTACAAGAATAACATCGGCGCCAGCTTCAGCAAGACCAATTGCCACGGCCTGGCCAATACCGCGCGTACCACCAGTTACGAGAGCAGTCTGGCCCTCAAGGGAGAAGAAAGAAGCAGACATTTTGAAATATTAGTTGTTGAAGTCGTGAATAATTGGTGATGTTTTCTTTTTTCGTTTATTCAAGGAGGGGCAGTCAGTTCCACCATGAGATGATGGATAGGCTGGGGTACTACGCTATTAATGACCGAGGGGTAAGTTTTTGAGCTCCGACTTAGGAGGAGCCGGATTGGTTCTAAGTAGGTGAATTGGACCGGACTAGAACTGGCCAATTGATTAATTGTTCGGAATGCAGGTTTTACTCTGTAGGTTTACATTCAACCGGCTTGTGAAGGTCGGAGAGAAGGCCGAAGACGAGCTCTGGATCCCCGCAGAGTGATGCTATTCTGTATCATGAGATATGTACAGACTGGTAGCATGTAGCTCTCTACGGTACAGGCCCAATAGATACACTTTCTAGATATTTACTGAATTTTATAAAACAAAACACCCCCTATAAGAGACAGATCTGATCATTCTCCCTCATCCAGCTCATGAGTCGGCCAACATTTCCTTCCCTGGGCTTCTCCAACATCTCCAAAACAGTGGATCGCCCTAAACCCAACGGCTCAATCTTTAGCGCTTCACCCCGCGGGATACAGGGCAGTGGGGGCACGCTAGCCACTGTCTCTACCACTGCGGATAAAGATTCTCTCTTCTTTTTTTTTGCTGTCATGGGGGCATTGCACGTCATGGGACGTCTCCTCGCGGGGCATTTCAATGGGCACCTTTTCCGAGGTCAAGGTCACCTCGGTCCTCTCTCCGCGATGAGACTCTGAGAATCAATTAGGGAGGGAATTGTAGTCTATCGCTTCTGTCCAATCCGATATTTGGTCGACATCGGCCCTGGCTTGAATGTCCTTGTTTGGTTCCGCCCTTTACTAACCCACCTCTCGCTCTCGTCTTGATCCATGATCTTCCAATAACTTTTGCATCTGTAACATTGGCCATTTCCTGCATATTTCTGTCACAATAGTTCACGAATTACTCTATTACTCTTCTTTAATCATTCTCTTCATCATATCACCACTTTCGCCTCCCTCATATCTTCATCATGGCAACTGAGCGTGTCAAGGCCTCCGTCCTCCACGGTGAGAAGGATCTCCGTCTGGTAAACACCATTACTCAATGGAATTCAAGATCGCTGGCTGACTCAATTCACAGGAAGAACGTGAACTTCCCGCACCCTCAAGCAACGAAGTCCAAGTCGCCGTCAAGTCAACCGGCCTCTGCGGCTCCGATCTTCACTACTACAACTACTTCCGCAACGGCGACATCATCGTTCGCGAACCTCTCACCCTCGGCCATGAGTCCGCAGGTACAGTCGTAGCCGTCGGCTCAGAAGTCACACATCTCAAGCCCGGCGACCATGTCGCGCTCGAGGTCGGTCTTCCTTGTGAGGCTTGTGAGCTCTGTGGTGAGGGTCGTTACAACATTTGCCGTGGAATGAAGTTCCGCAGCTCAGCAAAGGCCAATCCTCATGCGCAGGGAACTCTACAGGAGAGAATTAACCACCCTGCTAAGTGGTGCCACAAGTAAGTCAATTGAAGCTTTGTGGGGCGAGGAAACTGACCTCTGCTTAGGATGCCTGAACATGTTACTCTCGATCTCGGCGCTCTCGTTGAGCCTCTCTCAGTCGCAATGCACGCCCGTGATCGCGCCGCTCTCCCCAAGGGCTCAACAGTGCTCGTCCTCGGCGCTGGTGCTGTTGGTCTTCTCGCAGCCGCAGTCGCAAAGGCCGACCAAGCCAAGACCGTTATCATCGCCGATATCCTCAAGGACCGCCTCGACTTTGCTATCAACAATGGCTTTGCCGATGCTTCAGTAGTCGTCCCTATGGAGCGCCCACAAACTATCGAGGACAAGCTCGCCTTTGCTCAAAAGGTCGCTGCTATGGTGAAGGAGACACAAGTCAATGGAGAGGCTGTCGGTGAGGTTACAGCTGTGTACGAGTGCACTGGTGTCGAGACCTGTGTGCAAACAGCCATCTACGCTACCAAGCCTGGAGGCAAGGTCATGATCATCGGCATGGGAACTCCCGTCCTCACCATTCCCATGTCGGCCGCTGCTCTTCGCGAAGTCGATATCGTGGGTGTCTTCCGCTACGCCAACACATACAAGGAGATCATTGAGCTATTGGCCAACCCTCCTGCCAACATGCCTGATGTGAGCCGTCTGGTCACTCAAAGATACAATGGCATGGAGAACATTGAGGAGGCTTTCAAGATGGCTGGCAAGGTGAGGGACGAGCAAGGCAACCTTGTTATCAAGGTTGTTGTGGACTTTAACGAAAAATGACTAAAAGGTCGGTTGTAAATTAATAACGATTGTGGGAGTTGACCGTGAGGATTTTATGAATGGGGTAAAAGGCGTGTTGCATGGGATCTTGAGGATTATAGATACCTAGGTAGTTTCTGGCAAAGTGATGAGATGTTTGAATAAGTTAATACTGCACCTTGGCCCTTCTCGCTGGTATACTTGACACGTCTGACTAATGAGTGAACATGGCCATCTCTTTATTAACAGCATAACTATAGGTATAGCACAAACTAGAGGACTAGGGATAGCTATTTAGATATAGAATTAGAATTATATCTGAATACCTAGACTAAGAAACTTATAAGGATTCTAATAACTATACTAAGAGTGCTTACCACCTGCTAGAATAGTCAATACAGTGTTCTTACATCCTTTAGCTGCCATTAAGGTGATCAATGCCTCATATATATATAGGTTCATCTGCTCTTCAGAAGGTCTCAGAGGGTGGGGGGGGGCAAGAAAACACCAGACTTTTATATAAAGTATGAAAATGAACTTAGCAAAATATATCCTAAACTTAGTACCACTATCCCAATCTTTTATAAATTCACCCAAGTCTTTTTATCACTTGGGATTAAGGTTCTAAGTCTTCTCCCCCCCATAGGAAGGGTACTGGCCGCCCAGTCGAGCATCAGCAGGTGGTAGTAGTCTGAGAACTGGAGGCGCTGCAGGTGCCGAAAGAGTCTCGAAAACATGTTCATATTATTGTGTCTGATGAAAGAATGATGAATAGTTGGATAAAGCTAGTACAGAAGCAGTTTTACTTGATGCTACTGTGATCTGGTGAGCTTGGAGAGTCGAAGTTTGAGCGGAGAGTTATGGTAGTGAGTTTGGACTACCTACGATTGGGATCTGCCAAACTGCGATGCCGTGTCAGTGAGTCTGGCCTGGAGTGCTAATATGTGACTTTCTACACGTCCAAAAACTGGTTATTTCTTTGTATCTTATTAAGGAGCTTTGTGATTGGTGAACATACAACTCCCCCAAGGCCATCGTCCAATATGAAAGTTATAGAGCATCCTATGGCACGTCCCTATGATATGGTTCTCGAAGCATCATGGCAACGACACTTAAATGCAAGCACTAGCACACGAAGAAACGTCGAATATTCATGAGTTTCACTTTTTCTATTCATGAAGCTAATTTGAGCTCCTGGTCTATTATAGATGCAATATCATTCAGTGCCGCTTTTCATCGTATCTCATCTTTGTCCCAATATCATATAACTATAGCCGACCTTTGATTCATGACTTGTCGGGGAAACCAAAGTCGATTCCGAAAGGAGGGTAGACATATCGCTTGACCTCACCCTTCTTGACAAGGTCCTCGGAGTAGTCGTTCAGAGCCTTCATGTCCTCGTCGTCAAGGTCGACAATGGTCTTGTTGGCGGTTATACGCTCGGGGGTGACGGACTTGGCGAGGACAGTGCTTCCACGGGCGACTGCAACATTTTTAGCATTATAATTTTCGCGAACAAGTTCATGTGACATACCATGGTAGCTGAGGAGGACAGTAGAGGCAGAGACACCCTTCTTCTCAGCAATCTTGACAACGGGCTCAGCAGTCATGACGGGGCCACCAGTGCTGCCAAAGGGACTATAAGCCTCAATGTGAATGCCCTTCTCCTTGCAGAAGTCGACAATCTCCTGCTGAGGGAGGCTGGGGTGGTTCTCGATCTGGTTAACCGCGGGGATGATAGTGGCATGAGGCAGAAGCTCCTCGAGGTACTTCTTGCTGTACTATAGCGAGTGTTAGCTGAGATTGGTGAATTGGACACGTGAGTACTTACGTTGCAGACACCGACACCACGTGTCTTGCCAGTAGCGGGGAGCTTCTCCATGAGCTTCCAGCCATCGACGTGGTTGTAGTCTCGGATGACATCTCGGGAACCATCAGCCTTCTTGGGGAACTTGTCGTCGTTTCCCTCGGGGTTGAGGAGAAGAGGCCAGTGCTGAGACCGATTTAGCATACAAACTCGAGAGATATTCTAACTAGTAACTTACCACAAGGAAGAGATCAACGTAGTCAAGACCAAGGGCCTTCAAGCTCTTGTCGAGACCAAGCTCAGGTCGGGTGTTGTATGTAGCCCAGACCTTGGTGACAACAAAGATATCCTCACGCTTGACACCGGCCTCGAAAGCAGCCTTGAGACCAGCACCAACCTCCTCTTCGTTTCCGTAGCAGTAGGCACAGTCGATCAGCTTGTAACCGTCCTTGAGGGCGTATGCGACGGCCTTCTCGACCTCGCCAGCGGGAGACTGCCAGGTACCTACAAGCAACGGAAATCAGTCAATTGAACTCTTGAGGGTCGAAACATGTGAAAACAACGCACCGAGACCAAGGGCAGGAATCTCCTGGCCAGTGTTGAGCTTGAAGGAAGAGGGAGCCATTGTGTGAATTTTGTAAGAGAAGGGGTATCGTAAGGAAGAAGATGAGAGAGATCTAGAACGAAACACAAGAGAAGAAGCTCGTACAGAAGCGGGAGACGTGCAGGTTATAAACCGCTGCCACATCATGAACATGGCCCAATGCCCCTCATGCCTACGTAGCTTGATCTACCGAGCTACCTACTCTATTACAGCACCTTATTCTTCGATAAAACAAAGCCCGCCCCCCCAATGTACACGCTCATCTTTGCGGGGTGAACCCCGCCAAAGCGCTAGGCATGTCACCGAGCTCGAGGGGCATTTTTGCCTCTTAGAGCAGGTTTGGGGTGCATTTTACACGGAAAAGCGCTGATCGATGGAGATTTCTCGGGGTGGGGTTGCTCCGAGGCCTTGAGATGGTGAGTTGAGGCTAACTTGGAGTGGAAGAGAGGTCGGTGAGAACTCCGGCCGACGATGCCCCCAAAGGTTGAAAGACGCTGTTTATGGAATTGCTGTCCTTTCTGAGAATGCCGGGAAATATCTACACTTGAGATTATGCTTGAAAAGTGTGTAGGAAAAGCTGAAGGGCCGATGGCCGACTCTGCCTCTTTATATATCCTGTACTGATGATGCTATACCGGCTATATCACATATCCTGGCCCGTGATATACCATTCCCATCAGCGTGGGGGTTGCCTCTGAAGCCAAGTATCAGAAGCCATGAGACCAATCACGAACAATTTCACTCTGTTCACGGAAATGCCTGATACTCTGTCACTCAGTATGTAAGTCTATGCCATTGAGGATCTACTGATTCATTATTAATCCTGAAACCCCCAACATGAGCCATCGAAGAGAGTCTTCCTGCAAGACCCTTTCCCTCTATGCTGCGTCGTTCCAATCCATCTCTAAAGAAAAAAACGACTACAAAGTATAAGGTACAAACATACGTACATATGGAAAAGAAGTGCACCTATCGAATAGTACTCCATTACAACAAAACATGTGCCGTTTAAACTCCCTTCCTTGGTCCAAGTTTTTCCGCGCCCACCTCTTTTTCTCGTGTATTGTGTCTTGTGTTGCGTTTCGTCGTCAAGGTTTAGCCCGAAACAAGAACCCAGATCCTACAGTTTGTCAGTAACTGCTAATCACCCTTGGCCGTAGTCTGGGTAATGTCCTGGAGACAAAAGGTGAACTTACAGGAAGAAAATCATTAGCGTTCCAAACATCTTGGCAATCAACATTCTGTTGCTTGATACTCGGTTCCAGTATTTGAGGAGTTCTCGCTGGGCTCCTTCAACATTATCGACCACGTCCTCTGTGTTGGCGTCAATGCGCTGGATCATCTCGCTCTGTTCCGAAACCATGGTAGCTAGTTGTCCAAAAATGCTGCCAAGTTCGCCAATGGTCTTCTCGATAGCCTCAATCGCTTCGCCTCGTTGTTGGATATATGTATTGGAAGGCTGTGCCTCTTCCATCATCAGCAGCTGTTGATCACCGACGGGGTTGAGAGACAGTGTATCTTGAGCTCCCGGTGCGGGTGAGTTGCGAGCTGGTGTTCCGTAGAGAGGGGAAGCCGACTGTTGAATCGATGGTTGAGCATGTTGCGACACAGAGGAGATGAAGTTCTCTGTTCTTGATCGCGATGCCTGGATGTTCTTGGTTCTGGCCTCAAGAACATCCTTGAAGTTGACCGAGACGTCAGTGAGCTTGCCTTGTAGTAGGTAGACGACATTCTTGTTGTGCTCGCCCTCCTGATCGGCCTTGGGGTGTTGTTGCTTGGTGAGTGTTTGAAGAGCTCCAATTTGCTGGTTCAGAGACGAGAGATCTTGCTTGATGACGAAAGTAAGCTCGTTGATTTCCACAGGACGGTCGTCGAAAAGTGTTCGTCGCTTCGCCACTGTTTCTTGAGGTTAGAACTATCAACTACGCCGGGCACTCGCGTCGCCAAGATTGGCAGACAGTACTCACATTGAGCTAGCTTTTCCAACTTGCCCATAGTCGCAGAGATGCCACGTCCAATTTCAGCAGCCTTCCGGGCGAACTCGGATCGTCTTGGAGGACCTCCAGCATGACCGTTGGCGGCATCTTTTTGCGCATCAGTCAATAGAGACCGGCGCTGAGAGCTGACTTTTGAGGAGGATTGTTTTCGCTGTGCCTGGGCGAGTACCGACTTGAACTCGGAGGTTCGGTCTTGAATAGATGCGACAGCCATGGTGGCCAAATTAAGAGGGGTTAAGGATAAAAGCCGAGATGTCAGACTGCGGCCAGCGCGGTTTCGTGTCTCGAAAAGAGTCGTGGGGATCGATGTGATAGAGAGCAGCGATAAATATGCCACCTATGCGACTTGTGTTTCACTGGAGATGTGTCGATTTGCGAGTGTCGAACGTCGATGTGGAAGGGTCCGGATCAGGTCTCGGTTGGCAGCGCAGGCGAAACGGAACGTCGAGGGGTGACGCGGACGACAGAATAGCAGGATAATTAGAAAGGAGTACTTCGAATCGAAGGAGTTTGGTCGAGAATGCGATGTGTAAGAGAGAATTAAAGTGTCGCGAAGCCTCGGGAGTGGTACGAAATGGAGAAAAAGGCTAGTTAAGGTAGAGAGAGCTAAGTTAAACGGTACCGTAGATGCGCAACAAAGAATGCCAGAGACAAATGAGGTTTGATTTGAATTGGTTGTCGCTGCGTCTGAAAGGAGATTGGACTGATTGAATGATTGGGGAACGTGTCGTGTCGTTTGGCTTGTTCCAGACTGGTCCAGTCTGGCCGAGGGGCAGGGGTAGGTTCAGTGAGTGTCTGATCCGCCACGCTGGCTCTTTTACCAGACTGTTATTAGATATGTGGCTTTACATGTGGCTGAGTCTGATGTCGGTATTTGAGAAGATATTCTGGCTATAGCATCAGCAAAGAATACATTGACCCGAGAAGGCAATGAATCCTTTCTCTAATAGATAAGTATGGATATGTCTTGAACATGTATTTCTTTTGAGACTGGCAAGCACTATCACAATCATCACCTGCATATCAACGGAGAGTCGAAGGTTGTATATCGTGAGTTATCACGATGGTTCTAATGCAGACTGCATATACGGAGTATTTATTACTCTATTTAGTATTTGAGATGCTTCGTACATGGAGTAGTGTATTGAACCCATAGTAAGGGGTTCTGCAATGCTCAATCAATCATCTTAGTGATCTAGACGACAACTGCATACATACTCTCATTAGAAGTCTCTACCAGCTCGTAAAGTTCACCACTAAGCCTACAATTGCTACTATTTCTTCGTATCAAAACTCCATCTCCGTGGCTTCTTTATAGCTAGCTCCAGTCTTAACTTTCTCTCGTATATCAGATCCAATCATCTTATTCTGCAATGAAGTGGAGCCTAGGGTGGGCGGGAATGACGGCATTGAACCCCTTACCTGTGACCGTTCTACCATTGGATTTCTTTGCTAGACACGCAATAACAGAAATCTGCACCGTTGCACAGACTCAAGACGGCCACTGGAAGAATTGGTGGTTACCTAGCTCAGCAATTCACAGCCGTTTCATGGTCGGCACTCGAAATCCTGGTACCCTAAAAGACGTGTCATAGTCGACGTCACCTGTCCTATCAAAAGCAATGTAATAAAGGCGCTGCTGTCTCTTCATTCACATCCATGGTCGCACGTGTGCGTGTGCAACTTGGAATCCGTGTTTACGTGTGACATTTGCGCTGAATGCTGTGTAAATCTCACATACATGATACAGCAATGAGGAGATATAAGGGGCCAAGAAAGCCACTTGTTATGCAATGGGTTCGCAGTTCGTGATGTTGAGGCCAGTGCCGCAGACCTAGGTAAAGTTATCACGAGGTGTCAAAAGGGTTCATCCTAGTGGATAGGTGACGAGGACCGAGGCACTAAGCCCCCCTTGACCAAACAGTAAACTCTTTACTCTTCGATCAATCTCCAAGGCTCCAAGAATAATTACAGTACCCTATGTGCAACATCGGAGGGGGCCTAACACAGAAGGACACGCGAGCTCATGGGTATCTTGACTCGACAGATTTGAAGCTCGTTTCTTCTTTGTCTGATATCCCGAGGCGTAGAACAATAAACCGTTTCCCCAGGATGAAAAGCAAGGATATGTCAAAAATAGCAATGGCCAGTTCTTGATCCATGTCTCCAAGGTTAATTGGGATAATTATCAACGTGGATTTTAATTACTTGCTCTATAAACGTCCATTCCGTGCACTAACGCGAAGTGAAGTGACGGAAGTCCACCCAAGTTCTATTAGCAGACGATCTCGTAAATCTGTGCCAGTGAAGACAGATCTCGGGGGGCAAGAAAACAGCGAACCTTAATAGGGGGTGTCAAAATAAACTCAGCAAAAGTTATCCTAAGGTTAGGCTATGTTACCTAAGTCTTTTTGTCGTTTAGGATCAAGTTCCTGTGTTTTCTTTCCTCCCCTAGACAGAGACCTAATAATAAAGCTCTAATCATTCTAACGCTGGGTTGACTCCGCTGGTAATTTCATTCCATCGATCGACCCATTTCGGTTTCTTTTTTTGTCGCTTCGAGGTAGACTAGTCATCCCCTGTATTGGATGATAACGTGCAACGGCTTCCATGAAAAAATAAACGTCGTAATATGTAATCCTCGCAGTGATCTTTCATTTCTTGGGTTTCAACGAGGCTGGGCAAACTGGGGTATCTTGATGCTCCTCTGTATTCGGTTCCTTGTCTTCCTTTATTAGTGGTTCAAGTTGTCTGCAGCCCCCAGTCTTTAGAACAGCAACCGCCTGAAGTGCCCCATCCACCTCCGTCATCCAATCTCCAACGGGCTACCACAGCGGCGGGCGGCATAGCACTAGGCCAAAGGTGACAAAAGTGCCTGACCGCACCATTCATTCACTAGATTCATTCATTCATTCGCATTCGCGCTCACTCCCGACCACCACCAGAAACGTAACTCCGCCTCCTTGTTTCTATCACCATCTTGTCGCCATCATTCACAAGCTGTGTCGTTGGCATCTGCTGTTTTGCCATAACCTTCTTTGCTCTGCTCCCTTGATCTCATTCTTCTTCTTGTTGTATTGATCCTTTTTGCTGTTTGTGTTTCTTGGCTTGCAGACCTTGTATTTTAAGCTCTTTGTCAATCTTGACCAACCGTCAGTCACCTACCGACGCATTACTTTCTCCGCCGCCGATCTTCATCGCCGAACCCGATAAATAGCCCGGTACACCTAATCCTATTGCCACGTCCTCCCAGTTCTACTGTTGCCAACGCCGCCGACCGCTGGATTTCCATCAGGCATCACGAGGTCGTCCAAGAATGCTTCGATAGTCGAGTTTGGCTAAAAATCCCAAACACGACATGGATGGGACTTATAATAACCCTTACGCGCAAGGGCAGTCGCAATCTCCATTGTAATTATCCTTCGCAGATACCTAAAGTTTCTCTCTGTTAATCCGCAATCGCTTCTAGATCGCCCCAAACGCCTGGAGGATATCAGGTCAACGTCAACCGTACCAAGACGAGGAAATGGGTCCAAGCGCCGACTCAGAATTACGATGGTGACGATTGGGGCGCCGACGAGTTCGAGGATGACGAGCCACCGCCGCCTCCCCCGGTTCCTCGAGTAACAACAGGTCTCCGACCGGTAGGACAACGAACCGAATCATTTGGACCCTCCCCAAGATTGGCTGCCGCTGTCGCTTCCAGTTCTCGCAGCTCAAGCAACGCGCCATCGCTACAGCTTCAGACAAACCATCCGGATGTGCCCAACCCAGGCCACCCAGAACAGCCCCAGAATGTTTCGTCACCGGTTACAGGGCGAACCGGATCACCTGCTCCTTTGTCTTCAGGTCCTGGATCTTCAAAGGCGCCCAGTTATCACCAACAGCCCGACGTACGATCTTCTACCCCGCAGAGCACCGCAAGTTCCGCTGCTCGTGGTTCGCCTTCAATCCGACCCGATTTTCGCCATATAGATGATGAGCGGAAGTTGGGCGGGTCGCCGTTGTCCATCACAGAGAATATCGCACCCAGACCCGATGATCACTCTACACCCCCAGTCAATGAACTGAACCAGCCAGGATACGGTCGAGGAGATGGCCCAGCGATTGATAAGGTCCAGAAGCAGCCAACTTTTGATGCCATTCTCGCGAAGCGTGAGGAGCTAGGTTTAGGATCTCAGGGGTTGCACGATCCTCCTACTCTAGATAGCATTGCTCCTCTAGAGCCTGCTAGTCACAAGGAAGAAACTGTGATTCATTCGCCTGTTGATATTGACAGGAAGCGATTATCTGTTAGCCCGCAACTTCCCGATGTTGCGCGTATGTCAGTATTTGGCGCTGATTTCTTCTCCTCCGGAAACAAGTCCAGCGGTCCTGCCTCTGCCCAAGACCCGACCAAGCAAGACCAACCTTCAGTTCCCAGTCAAGCAACTGATAGCCCCGGAGATCTCGCAACTTTGGAAGAGAAGCCCAGAGAGAGTGAAGACAACACCAGCACTCCTGGACCCAACAGCAGTACCTCTCTTGCCCCTGTGAATGATCCTCGAGCTGTTCCACCTCTGCGTACACCAAGCCCGAACTCAAAGGGACTCTTCCCATCGCCTAGAGAGCCTGCATCAGCCACCGACTCCAAGATTACGCCTACAGAGCCTCTGCACCCTCGACAACCGGAGTACTCTCCATCGAATTACGAGCCTAACTCTGCTTTGACACAAGGATCTTTGAATACTTTCAATTCGTCACCTGTTAAGGAAAGTGACGTCCTGAGTGAGGAAATCATGAGGTCCCTTAGCCCCATTGCTCCAACACCAAGCTCCGCAGTGTCTCGACCTCTGCCCGATAACTCTCAGTCTTTGACACCAGGTGATCGGGGTGTCACTCGTAACAGCAGCTATACCCTTAGCGATTATGATAGCTATTGGGCCGATTCAAACGAGAAGCCCGGGCAAGATTCGAAGACCGAAGCAGAGGACCAAGAGAAGCCCAAGACTGAGACCTCTCCAGTTCATGAGCAGAAGCAGCAGCCAATTGTCCAACCGCTGTCTAGCGCCGTGGGGTCGACCGAAACCCAGCCTACCGCTCAACCAGAGTCACCCAAGTCTGATCCACGGCGTAGATTCTCTTGGGAGGCTGGTTTCGATTCCCCACCAAAGATTCTCCCTGTCGAGCCGCCCTCTGGTACTTTCAACAACGAAGCTCCTCGCCCAGCTTCTC